ATTTAGGCTTGTAGGACAATAGCTTGTCATGCCGAAATTATTAACGCAGGAAAGTGCTTATATATACATTATTCCATTAATCTCTATGGAGGGGCTAGATGAAAACTTTAAGCATGTTCATTGCATTCATCTAAAAATATGCATATTTACAATCGCAAATCAAGACAATAGCAGAGCTATGTACAAAAATCACCAAATATTTTAATGTTACTATATGTCGTTTTTTCATCAATAAACGATCACGCGATATTAGTTCAATAGTGTTAGCAAAAAAGTGTATGATTTTTCTTGCAAAAGATCTAATGCGTTATACTGCATTTAAGATTAATCCAAAATTTGCATATATGTTTACAAACACTCGCAAAGGATGACATATTTTCTACTAGTAACTTCCAGATTGACTAGTAGAAAAAATTATCTTCATAGATATATCCTCGACAAGCGTTACGTTTAGATGAAACTATACTAATTATTCAAAATCTTAGATCCTTGCAAAACAAAGACAACGTATGTGGTCTCAAAACATTGCGCTGAAATTTTACACATCTTTCTTTCATTGAACTCTTGAATGAAAATTTAATTGCAAGAGAATACATAGTTAAGCCATCAAATGAGTAATTTATATGGCTCAAAATGGATAAAAAAAATAGTTGCTAAAAACAAAAACAAAAACAATTCATCTAGCATGGCTCAAATTACTAAAATAAAACTAATAATGATTCTTATGACAAAAATAATAATTCTACAGTAAATGTAGTGAGTAGCTAAGACAAACTAATGAAATATTTCAATTTTGTAAAAAATCAAGCTCATGAAAGAGGAAAATAATCTAGCAGTGAATAAAGTCATACAATAAGATAAAACATTGCCAACATCCAAATATTTTTTTGATTTATTTGAGGATATTTTCACATAAAAAATCATATTTAGAAATTATTATTAGATATTTCAATCCAACTTTTATAATTGAATTTTTAAATCACTTAATGATTGTATCTCACAAATGTATTGTTTGAAAATTACAAATTGGATTGAACGAATCTGTTGTTGAAAGTGAGATCAAGATGGTAGAATATAGATACTCTTGCTATTTGTTTCATTTTTATTTAATCATTTCATCACACAAAAAAATAATTAACACAAATAAATAAGCTATTAGATAGTTACAGTTTCTTTGCAACAAGGATTGCAACAATGTTTTCAAAATTTTTTGATTCCATTAGTGATACCCATGCTTTATTGCAAAATTTACAATGTGAATAAGTCATGTTAAAAAGTATTTTTGAGAAAATCTTTGGTGGTATGAAAAAAAAGCAAGGTTTATATTGCATAGAGACATAATACATATTGACTGAATTAATGACATGATTAGCATCCAACAATTCTAGTTCACTATTTTTCAAATCTTATTGCTAACTTTTATATGTATTCAATTTGTCTCATTATGTGTTCTAAAATAAGACTAATTACTTATCATTTTTCTCATAACTCAATGCATTAACTTAAAATTTTAAATGAATTAATATGATTTTAAAGATTGCGTGTTTAACATACCAGATATAGACATGTTAATCCTAGATTTTGAGTAAAGAATTTAGATCTTCTTTTGAAAAATCTGGATTTGAAATAAATTATTTAGATTAAGTTTCATTAAGAAACAATTCAAAATTTAATGTAGAATTGTGTATCAAGCTGGAAAATTTTACAACACAACATAAACTTATCTTCCATTGTATGTTATTAGTTCCTCTGAGTAGTATATTTCATTTTTAGACTTTCAAATCTATATGATGATGAGTAGATACTATGTTTCTAGTAACCAAAAATGCTTTAAAGATTTTGAAATATCATAAACAATTTTGACAAATTCTAACATGATCATGTGACTCACATTGCATCCCAAATGATCTCATCATAATATTATGCAGATTATTTTTTAGCTTTTTTTAATGTATGAGTTAAAGACACCGAGCATGGTATATTATGAACCACTGTAATGATACTTTTCGGAAGCATTAATAAGCACAAAAAGTACAATAATGAAATATGCTTCGACTTGCAAAACCATAGTGAGTGATTGCTAACTATCGAAAACTAAAATAAGAAAACTATATATATATATATATGGATAGTCAATGATTTTACAAAAATATTTCAAGACATCCAAGGCAGCGAATGGTAGAGTGGAATTTTCACACCTATCACCTCTGCAGAACTGAATTTTACCACTCCGATCCTAAAAAAATAAACTTCATTAGTACTTTCCTTCTGCAATGTTCTATGATGATGATATGTATATGAGTACAATCAGGACTGAGAATTAAATAAAAGTGGGAAAAAAATTCCCACTATAGACAAAAATAAGCTTACAATGATTGAGAAAACTGTTCACGTCCTCTAAATTTCCATCCACTATCACATCTAAACATTCATGCTCCACCACTACAATCCACCGAAATAATAATAGATGGGACTTCGAGCTTTTAACATAAATAGCAGGATTCTATGGAAATGGATAGGGCTACACTCAAAATGGAATGCAGAGCATGCAGTTGTTAAAACATCTTGGTGCCTTCGTGCAGAACATGTCATGTGCGGATGTGTCACGAGGTGTAATGAATGTCAAGGAGGTGCAATGCCAACTTCACTTAGGACAAGGCACTGCGTCGTAGGTCATACACGTCATACGACGTCGAGAACCATGAGTACAAGGGGTCCAGCGGGACTCTTGCCCGCCGGCAGGTGAGAGACCACCGGCACGGCAGTGCCGGTGCATCAGGAGATCGTCGTTTGTCACCGGAAGTGGAGCGGCGGCCAAGGGCCACGCTCGTTTAGGCGCCAGCAACGTCGGCGACAGCGCCGGTGTGTGCATTATAATCACCGGCGTAAACCGACCTTACGTCGTATGTTGGTCTCAACGCTAACCATGATTGTCATTATTAACGCCCCATTATTGGATTTCGATTGCACGAAGAAATAGAAATCTACAACCGCACCGTGCACCTCACCGGCAATATAACTCACGTCGAACGTTACAGCATGGACGAACATCAGCTGTCCGATTGCAATAGCCATCGCAATATTATAACTTCCCGTCTAGATAGGTGTGCAGAAATGGGCTCAATGTCGCCAGGGACCACCGATGTCGATGGAAAGTATCCCAATTCGTCACGCCTCACGCCAAAGCAGTGCCGGTAGACTGGTGCTTACGACCGACCGAGCTTCATCTCAGTACAGCCAGACCAGACCAGCTCGAACATGCCTCGCAGCGACCGTCAAGACTCTCGGCTTACGGCGATCGACCGACCTCACGGCGACCGACCCTTCAGGTCCATCAGCGGCCTTGGCCACCTATGCAACTGACCGGCAAACGTGACGGCGGGTCTTGGATCCATGCCCATTACCCAGGCGGCCAGGCGGCCAGGCCCCAAAGAACACGAGAAGAAGAAGCGGCGGATTGTCTTCCGGATTACGGAGTGGACTGGAGTCCGACCGGCAGCCCTTTCGTCGCCTTCCTGCTCTCGCCTGCCCAGTGGCTTCGGTCCGCTGGACGTGGAGTTAAGGATCAAAGGATCAAAGGATCCAGGAATGAATCCCTTGGGTTGAAATGGAGTGGCACTGAATAAAACAGGACCCTGGATCTTCTGCACATGGGTTCAGAAAGTGTGTCTTCTTTTCCAGCGCAGGCAGAGCCTTTCCGAGAATCCAGGAGAGCAAGTCGTGGCTTCCTTCGCTCGGTCGCCAAAGTTACCACAAATTTCAAACCTCAGACTGTACTTAGACTCTTGGACTCTTAGTTCCTTCCAAAGAAGCCATAAGCACCCGGGCGTTCAGTCATATGATTGAAATGACACTCATCCCGGTCTTCCATCTCACAAGTATTCAGAGATCTTGTGAATTCGCATTTTGACAAAGTCGTGTCGCTTCCAGATTCAGCTCATGACTGGTGCTGGGAAGGGTCACAGGCAATTCAGAAGAAGACTGCAGCGATTTGGTCAGGAAACCCCCCGAGTTGTTTCACCGCCCTGGGGTTGACTACCACTGTGACCACGGCGGCCACTGGTGGAAAATTTCACGAAATCACACTCAGCAACTGTAGATCGATACTCTCACATAACGGATACATCGGTACGGAAGCGACGCCACCGATGCCAGTGTCAGCTTTGAAAACCACGACATAGTAAATTACAGCGTCTTCCAAGTTATTACAACAGTGTGGTTCCCACGCTTCTCTGCAAATGCAATACTTGATGGATACACATATGCAGCGAATCATGAACTAGGAAACTTATCATACATCGATGTACTACATCTCAAGAAAATACGAATTCCTGTTATTGTACAGTAAGCGGAAGCGATTGCTGAAGTATTTATCAATGTGACCTCACTGTAATCTGCGTGGTAGTCGATGGGGTTCTAGTCAGTCCTGGGAGGCCCGGGCCCACTGTAGAAGGTACGCCCCTTTTTAAGAACCGAACAGGCGAGAAGGAACGGAGATAGTCCTAAGTCCACAGTCTAAGCAGAGGTCTTTGAAAACAAGTGTTTAATCCAGACGGTCGGTCGTACTTCACAAAACCTTCTTTCCTCCTGCCAACTCTGGTACGACACGTCATCTGACAGAGTTGGCCCTTTGACGAGTATTTGCTTGGTAGCTTGGCCTCGGCTCAAGCTGTTTCTGCTTCCGTTTCACTCTAGCATTCTTCTGTTATTATGCTCATGGCATCATTATCTGCCTCTCTTTTTACAACTTGTGTGAGGTTCGTTCGATTTCGTACAATTTTATTTATGACATGACATGAACCAGAGCTGATATTTGGTTCCTTCATAATATAGTGTTGTAGATAAGACTTTTCTCCTGATTCTCATACTTAGAAACAAATCATTGAAACACCATATTGGAAATGTTTCGACCGCTATATCAAACAGAGGGTTAGACGAACATGAAAAACTAGTTGAATCCGTAAGAAAACCTTGGTCTCATTTTAATTGTATAAACTGCTTTGCAAAATTGATGGGGAGGGAAGACTAGCTTTAGAAAAATTTGCATATGCGTGATTCGTGAATCATGGACTGTGAATAGAATAGAGGAATAGTTGAACTGTTCTTAAGGCAGAGCAGAAAACTAACATCTACTCCACGTGTATGTCACACCGCCAACCGGCAAAGCAGGATCCACAATTGCTGCCGACGACTTGATCCATTGGTCGTTTGGCTCGAGGGCCATTTCTCCGTTCCTCCCTTCAACACGCCCGGTCTTGGCTGGCTGCCTGGAAACGGCATCCGGCTGTAGCTGTTATTTCTTCATGGAACCTTTGACTTTAGTCTCCATTCCTACCCGGGCCTGCCGACCTTCCCCACCTCGCAGGCTCGGCTGGACTCCGATGGAGAGCCCAGCGCAATGAACAGGGATTGAATTCTCTTGTCAATCATTGACTTCAAAGTAAACCCATCCTCCTGTCGTATGCGCAGCCACAAGGCCCTACATGTACTTCACATTTCAGCGCTGGCTGTTGAAAGGTTGCTAATTTCCATCACAAGACGTGGATTTCAAATAACACGACTTTTTTCTCTACGAGCAATAGATCCCTGCTGGCAAAGCACGATCAGCCGCCACCAGTTCGCGTCCACAATGGACATCCTACTTTCGACCGAAACTCGAGCGAGTAGCATGTTGGTGGAGGCGATGCCCAAGTGAAGAACCAGACAACACCTCCATGTTTTATCCTGTATCGATTAGTGGCCTCCAATCAAAGGCGGTTCCCTAAGATGCCGCTATCTGACCCTCTAAGATGGGGTCAAAACTCCACCTCCTACAGGAATGAAGATGGCCCCCATGTATTATGAGCATGCTCCCAAGCAGAGTCAATTTGGCGGTGGGACTTGCGATAATAGTAACCTGCTTTTCGGATGGGCACGAAATTGGAGGAACAAGTGTAGAACATGCTTCTCTGAGGGCCAAATTCCCAAAGCACCTTATGACCTGAACAAATTGGTGGGTTCTGGTTTCCGTGGATAGTAGATAAGGCAAAATCAATACAGAAAATGATATCGCCTTTAGATCTACAACGGAGCGGCATGGGACAAAAGCTGCTTCCCGAATCAATGGCATAGAAGCAACCAGAAGACATGCATCTGCGAGTTTTCGAGGACGTGACGCATCGACTTTGTTGATCACAGTCGCCCAGGAAACCTCCATAGGACTTTGACAAATATGTCTGCATTGATTCTGCAGCGTGTAGTTACCGTGAAGACGTTTAGGATAATTATAATGTTGGAGTCCTAGCTTGGTTCAACTCTATACGTTGAATTCCAAATCTGACGTTTTATAGTTACCATATTGATTGATTCAGAATCTGATAACTTCTGCCAGACATAGTCCCGTACACACCATATGGAATGCACACATTTCATAGCCGAAGTTTGGTAGTTAAATCCGGTAAAGGATGTAAGATCAAAACATATGAGATTATACTGGCTTGTCAAATTTATCATGTCTTGCCACAACATGAATGCAGTGGGTTCCATCGCCTTGTGTGGAATCTATTTGGTTTGCTGTAGTTCGAGTTGTTCGTTTACTATTAATTCAACTAAGTCCTCTGAATAAACTGTAGTACATGATCTTATAAGTCCATGAAAGTGGAATGCGACGTAACAACGCACAGTAGTTAGTGGAAACCTCCTTTGCACAGTAATGTCGAGGCATATCATATTTTGCAGCTTATAGATCAAGTTGGAAGATGGTTTGGAATTTAGTAGCTACATTACACTATGGTTTTACTTATTGTAGTTAAAAAATTTTAATTAAACAACCAACTTGATCCCAAAATGGACTATAATTTTCATCTCACATCACATCTCAAAGTGGTGCAAGATCTTATTACTAAATATAACAACATCAGGTCAAAACTTAAAGGGCTTTAGATCCACCCTTATGGGTTAAGCATTCAAATGGTTTTGTTTCACTCAAAATTACACATTTGGCTTCATTAAACAAATTGAAGAAATTTTGATGTAATTGCATGTATCCATATTTCCCCAACAATTTAACATTATAGTATGCTCTCATCGCAAAAAATAATGTTTTGATCACCAAAAATAACTTACTACTTGATTGATGGAAGTTAAGGATTTATTAAAACTTCACAAATGTTTTACAGCTTAATTTCCGGAAACTACTCCACAGATATCCTCTTGTCGAAATCAGGAAACTGATCAACTTTCATGTCAATGGGCAAAAGAAAAAGAGGGAATGCGAGATTCTATCCATTAATTGGAATTTTCTCTATCCGCGGAGTCAGTTCTCAGTACTTATTGACAAGGTTGCGCATGACAACGAGAAGATAAAACAAAACATATTCTTAAATTCATTCATTCATTAGATTCAGCTACTTTTTGGACAAATTCGTTTGTTAGTACCTCCATCTGTACCATTACATCAAAGTGAATGTAGTACCACTTGGGCGCATTAGGTGTTCATGTGACTCGTTATGCATTTGGAAGTTAAAGTTTTTATTTCATCACAACCAGGTTCTTGAAAATTATATGATTGTGAAATAATATCAATTTTTTTTTTCTTTGGGAGTTTTGTAAATGTGTAAGTATTGATTTTAATTATATTTATGAAGTAATGCGCAAGAGCATCATTTCTAGCCGCAAGGGATTACACTATCTTCTGTCGTTCGGTCGTAGAAAAATTACTAACTAGTGAAATCCATCAGAAAATAGTCTAATCCATTTATGATGTTCAGATAAGATGTTTTTTTATACACACTTATAATGCGATAGTCTGGATGTTGTATGACAGATCTCCCATTGAATTGCTAAGGTGACCTGTCCCATGTTAACTGTTTGGTTTCATATCTGTATAACTTGATGTCTTTTTGCTATTTTATGATAGACACTGAAGAGAAATCAAAGCAAGCGCCTTCTACTCCGTGAAGCTCGACTGAAAACAGAGAGAGTACTCAAAAGCGTCTAGTGAGTGAACAGGGGGATTGATGGAAGTAAAAATAGGGGTGAACAGCAATTAAATACCTCTCAGCGTGGCATGATCACATATGGCCACGTTCAAGTCAACGTTCAAAGGTCCAAACCGGTCGTGTGGGAGGACATTCTTTATGGCCTCAAAAAAGCACCTAAAGAAAGTTGAAGGATTGCGGTCCTGATGTGGAGCCTAAGAAAACTTGATTATATGAATACGGTAATCACGTGTGGGGTCTACTCGTCCATTATGAAAAGGCCAAGATGAGGACAGCGAGGAGCGGATGGCTAATGATAAATATATCTGCCCAAACTTCCTTCGCTGAGAAATACATGTACAGAGTACACCGGACTCGGTGGGGCCGCCGCAGCCCACCCGTCGGCACGTGGCGAAATCTAAGCGGTCACTGAAGACGGAGCCCGCATACGGTGTTTGGATTGAGATTCATGCGAGTACTTCGTCAAAGCTAGACGCAGGAGAAATTTAAAGCAGTCAACTGCGGTGGGCCTAGCCCCGGGGCCGCCTCGCACAAGCTCGGCGCAGCTCCGGAAGTCGCCGAGGCGGACCATCCGCTTCGGCGCTCGTTCGAAAGGAATCTCGAACCCGTCGATCGTTGAGATCAACGATCCCGTGGGCGAGACTAGCGGGCGCCCCCCGCGTTGGTAGGAGGTCGAGTAGGCGTCGGAGTGACGGATTGACGGTCGGCTCGTTGAACAGATGCTGACAAGTTCAAACTTGCGTGACAGGAACAGAAAGTTCGAAGTTGGTGCCTAATTCGATTCGATTAGCTCGCTCGCGACCTCGCCAGTGGGGAGGCGAGCATTCTATAATGCCTTGGGTGAGCAAAGCGCTTCCATCCATCCATCCATCCGTCGTCCATCGTCCATCGTCCAGACCTATCTCCAGCGTTCCTTCCCACGCGCTTTGACTCTAGCTTCGTCGTTCTCGACCTGCTTCGCTCTTCTATATATCCATTCTCGGTCGTTTGCCTCTCATCAACAGTACTCGTGTCGCAGTGTCTCGGTCCTTTTCTCTTCCTCATTCTCCGTCTGGGTCTGCCTGTCAGTCAGTCAGTGAAGACAATTGTAAGTACACGCGAAGATTTTTCACAGCGAGGAGTAGCAGAGCGAAAAATTTACAGTGAGAGGGAACAGCATCGAGGGGAGGCGCAGGTCGATCGATTGCAGAATTGGGTGTGCACCGTCAGGCCGGAGTGCCCTGAGAATGGTTGTGCCCAGGAAGCTTCTCAATGTCACGGTCCCTTCGTACTTCATGTGCCCTATTTCGCTGGATCTCATGAGGGATCCGGTCACGCTCTGCACAGGAATGACCTACGATCGATCGAGCATCGAGAAATGGCTCGACGATGGGAATCTGACGTGCCCGGCCACTATGCAGTTGTTAGACAGCACGAGCCTGATCCCGAACCACACTTTGAGGCGTTTGATTCAGGAGTGGTGCGTCTCGAATCGCTCCAATGGAGTAGAAAGAATCCCCACCCCCAAATTGCCGGCGCAACCCGAAGAAGTCAAGGCAATGCTCGAGGACTTGAAGTCGGGAATTAATGTTCATGACACCGTGAAAAGGCTTCGCAGTCTCGCGAGGGAGAGCGAGAAGAACAAACGCTGCGCTTCGGACGCCGGGGCGGTCCATGTTTTGATCAACCTGCTCACCGTGCCCAACGCGGAGTGGCCAGCAAGCCTGAATTATTCTGCCGATCGCGACTGGGTGGAGCTCACAGAGGATGTACTGGCCACCATCGTGGTCCTATCCAACAGCGAATCGTCGAGAGGCTCGGTGGTAGCGGGGACCAAGCAACTCGCTTGCATCTGCTGGTTTCTGCGTCGGGGTAGCATAGAGTCGAAGGTCAACGCCGCGGTGGTCCTCGAGAGCTTGGCGAGCAACAGCGAACTCAAGAGCGCCCTGTCGGAAATGGAGGGAGTGATTGAATCGTTGGTGGGTCTTTTGAGGGAGAAATTCTATCCTAGAGCTGTCAGGGCGAGCTTGAAATGCCTCTTGGCCTTGTGCGCCACCACCAGGAAGAATCGAATCAGGGCAGTAGAGGCAGGCGGTGTCGCAGCTCTCGTGGAGTTGCTTCCTGAAGCAGAGGGTCGTGGAATGCTGGAACGCGCTCTGAAAATTCTCGAGTTTTTATCGTCTTGCGCCGAGGGACGAGAGGCAATTAGCGATCACGCGCTCGCGATCCCCATGCTCGTGAAATTGATTCTGAGAGCGTCCGAGGCCGCCATCGAGCACGCGGTCGTGATCTTGTGGATGGTGTGCGAGTATTCGGTGAACGCCTCCACCGTGCGGGATTCCGCAGTCCAGGCCGGAGTGATCACTCGTCTTATCCTACTTTTGCAGACCGAATGCTCCAAGAGGACCAAGCAAAAGGCCATCGAGTTGTTGAAGCACCTCCGAGACATTTGGAGTCAATATCCGTGCAGTCCCGGGAACAAGGCTCTATCACGAATTGCACCCTTCTGAAACCAACCTCTAATGCGTGATTTTGATTTCATGGGATGATTTTACGGAATAACTTGTACATAGTAAAGGGTTAGCAACCGGAATAAAGTAGTTCTTGAGTTGTGGCCCAAAGAAGAAAAGGTTGCAATTTAGGAAACATTCATTGGCTTCACATCTGGAGGCCCGTAGAGTTTTGTTAGAATCGCGGATATTCTGCCAACATTGCGAATTTAGATAGTCAATCCCCCTGTACCAGATTTGGGTGAAATTGTTTTCACTTCGGATGAGGTGGATCCAGTAGCATGAATTTGTCGAACACCCCGGAGCTACAGCAGAGCATGGACCGATGCTGAGACTAGGTTTTACATGCGCACTATATTTCCTTTGTATCATATGTAACGCGGTCACACATTGAAACGAATTTTTTGGGGAGGAGTGACGGAGATTGTTTCTCCCTCTGCTGAACAGAAAATATTACTGATGGTATGAATCTTGTACGATTTTTCTGCTGACTGCCTCACGTTTACTCTTGGTATTGTGGCATTGTGCCGATCTAGGTCAGTGTCACCGCTTCGCTCCTCATACTGGGAGGACGAAGCTCTTGTCTTGATTTCATGAGCGGATTGAGATGTGTGTACGAAAGCCCAATCCAGGTGTTTTGTGGTCGGGCTCGCTAGACATCTGCATGTGCACACAAAAGATGCGGACGCGGGCGGGCAGGGGAGTCAAATGATAGTGTCGTATTGTTCTGATCTTCTTCCCTTCGACTCCTCTTCCCCATTGGATAAACATCGGCCATCTCCAGCCACGGAGAAGGAGCCGGAAGTGAGTGGGCTACGTCTAATCTGTAACGTCGTTGGAACTCATAGTTTGTCAACCTGGGTCCATGAACTCCATCCTTCATAATGGAGATAATGTGTTTTCCCGACTTGATGTTGGCAAATTTAACTAACTAACTCTGAAGGTGCTTACCGTACCTCTCACAGGCAAGACGCCATGCTGGCCCAAATCTTCTGGACGCTGTGGAGCGGTCTATTGACTGCACTCTCTGTGAAATGATCGAACTAACTAAGAACCAACCGTGTTATGGTTGATTCGTGCTCCAGAACTGCCCGCAGTGCGTGGTAAAGGTTCTTCGACAGCATTGCAGATAGACTTGTCTGGAGAAATGTAGATTTGTTTGAACACGGTCAAACCTGAGGGCAGAAAAAGAGCAAAAGACGAATCCCTATCAGAAGTGCTGCTGCTGTTGCTGCAGCAGCAGGAGCAGCTTTTAACGAAGAAGTTGCTGAACCTCGCTGCGCTGCTGCCGCTGCTTTTCTCCTCTGCAGTGTATTTCACGCTTTCATTGAGAGCTGGACAAGCTTTTCCATGTTAGGCCTGGCCTAGGCCACTTTAGTCTCATCCGGTGCAGCAGCAGCAACTACCTTCCTAGTGGTCGTTCACTAGTTGGTCCAGTTTACCACTAGAGAGGTCGAGTTCACTACTGCTTTCTTCAATTATTTGCGCGCACGTACTCACTTTTTTGTCCGTGTCAGCTATCTCCTGGATTCTCGACATCATTCTGTATCATTCCAAATCTTTCCAGTGCACAAAGGGGGTTGGGTCAAGTGAGCAGTTCAACATTTACAGTGTTCAAATCAGGTCACTTACGCGGACTCGGGACTGGAATTCAATGTTGCATCATACAAGAGCACATAAGAGCTTAGTTGAGCACGTCTCTTCGTTTGCTTAGGGCAAGAGATGCTGTGGACTTCCTAGACCGTGCGGGTTGAGGAAATATTTGCTGCTGGTCACAGAGCTTCCAATGGTCAACGAACTACAAAGGAAAGGAGGGAGCCTTTCTGCACAGAAAAGAATTATGGTGCAGAAAGTGGTGGTTGTGTCGAGTGTTATCGAGACGACATAAAGCCCAATCAACTTCGCTTTGTACACGAGGAGCAAGGAGAAAGAGCTTTCATCTTCAATGAAGTACACAAATGGCGGCTCGTCGGCTTCGTCGCCATGCATGCACTCGATGGTTCATCTTGTAGGCCTCCCTCCTCCACAGTCCCCACTTCCGAGCAGCGCCTTCTTGCCCTCTTGCCCTCTTGCCCTCTTGCCCTGACTCTTCCACCGCCTCTCGTTTGGAGCGAGCATTTGGGACTTTCTCAGGCCAGTGACCGCCGTACCAGAAGCCATTTGACCGTTTCAAAACGCTTTTGAAATTTGACATCATGCTTCGGCCCAGCCAGCCACTCTCCAGTCCTAGACCGAGCACTTTTAGCAGACTTTGCAAACTTTGGCCCCACTTCTTCAACCCAAAGACAAACTCGCATGCAGAAGCCATGAGTGAGCCCAGTTTCCCAGTCCATGATCCTCGACTGGTTTTATCTCTGGACGAAGGAAGGAAAGAGGCGCCTCTTCTTCTCGTCGCAACTCATAATCCCTTTTTATAATGCTTCGATTATCTTCAAGTCAATGGAACTCGTGAACAGGCTGTTTCCATCGTACCTATCAACATACAACAACGGGTGTATGGATGGCAGGTCTTTTGACTCGGTCAAAATGAGCCCCGACCCGAAGAGTCCGCTTACTATCTGAACCTACTTCAAATTTCACTCCACATGTTCATGGCCGAACATTTGAACATATCCCGCTCAGCCAGGAGTTCGGAACAGTTGGAGAGTATGAAGCCGATCAACGACTATCGTCATTCCCGAAGTATGGGGAGGCCGAGCAGGCTTGGGCTAAGGCTCTGACTCGAGCTGGCGAACTTCCAGAGTGCCCCCAAAATCATCGGAGTTTCTGTTGCAGGCTGGCATGAAGACGTTGGACGAATGCAAGGAATTGGATTTCGCTTCCAAGTCAGGAATTTTGTCAATTGCAGCCGGCGTGAAGTGAAGACTTCTACTGAGCTTCAAAAGTCGCCAACTTTAGACCAACTCGCTCAATGATGGCTCAGTGCGTTATGACAGTTTGCGATCGGTGAAGAGAAGCTTGTAATATAACAAGAACAAGCGCAATAATGAAGATTCTGATAACTCTTGATTTGATAGTATTTCGGTCGATCTTTTGCTTTGACAGGCGAGCCTTCCCATACCGTTCATCGAGACAGGTGTGACTGAGGGAGAGATTAGATTGGTCTAAAATCTGTAAATTTTTGGGATCGAATCGGACGTTTGATTGGCTACCCGTAGTTGCAATTATGTTTGTCTCTGCAAATCATCAACAGTTCCATTGCTGCTTCAAAGTCGACTCCCGAGCACCAACTAGTGCAGCAGATGTCATGGGGCATGTGATCAAGAAGAAATAGAAGTACGAACATCCACAATTTCTCGTTAGACGTGCATATTAAAGATTTTACGGCATCGAGCTTTTACAGTGGCTTGAACGGAAACCAGCCTTACTGCTAATCAATCGTGCATCGTAATCTGCTTTGACATTGTCTTCCAACAGACCCAAGGGTTGGGAGTCGCCATCCTTTGAGGATCCTTTTACACTGCTGCTGTTGTTCGATATCCCCTTCCTTACATATGCATGTCATAGCCTGATGATAAACCTCCACATGAAACACTCATCAAATATTGGAAAGTAGGGCACTGGAGCCTATCATTCACCCACTAACTGAGGAGGATAGTTTTACTGTATTGCACCTCTGGTAAGGGAACAGTCCTACCAGACTTGGGTCAGCAATCATTCTTCCATTGCGATGAAAATGTGGATACACAAGAGTTGGAAGTGTTGAGCTGCTGGATGACGCGAAAACAAGTTTCAATGGTGTCATGGTCTCGACACGCTTCTCACTCATGGTCCGAAGAAAACATTCTTTTCCTTATGTTGAAAATGACAGCCTTATGACACCTGATGGTCACATATAATGTCACCATCAGATGTTCAGGATCACTTTTTCATCATTAACTAATCTCAAGACACATGTCAACATGAAAGTTGAGTTCTTAGATGCTATAATTCTCTTAACAACCCTCCTTCAGTCGCGAACATATGGCCACTGTGCACATCTTTACTTACACATGGCACGCCCTTGTTTTGCACATCTGCACTGCTCTCATATGCTACCTGAGTTTACACTGCCTTCCAGACCTGGCTAACGTTCAAACTCTTTTGTCATTTCATGATGAAGTATGGAATGTTTAACCACAATTCTTGAATAATGTAGACTTCATGCGAGTATAACATGTTTATTGATCCGTCGTCCTATTTGCTGATGTTGTGTACCAAATACCAAGGCCACACCTAAATTTTAAGATAGTTGCGATCAAATAAATATGGTGGGCCAAGCCTTAGATCAGGTCTGTTATGCTACTGTTATGTACAGTAGGTCCCGTATGTGTTCCACATAGAGTAGGCTCACATCTGCATATGTAATGCGGTTTCCCAACTTGCTTTACACGACAGCATGGAGTGCTAGCTTTTCTCAAAGTCAACATGTACAAGTTCCCACGTTCTCTGCCCTGAACCAGTTAGAGCCTCGTCGGACAGTTCATGCACTAGCTTGTGACCCGCCGAAGCGCCTAACAAAAAAATAAATCTTCGTTGAAAATATAATTCGTACTTGCCATTCATTCTAATCAGCCATATTATAACATTATTGGGTTGGGTGTATGGGGACCTCCAATAGTGTCATGAGCCGAGAAAGAAAGGACTTAGTCCGCTGTGGAGTAGTGTTGGTAAATCATACAACTATGCACAGCAGCATATTATCAAATATGCTGCTGCGTAAGCAGTCTCCACATGTGTAGGTCTAGTGCCACTACTAATACTTTCACATACCTTTTCTTTAACCTAAAGAAGTACCGCCTCCCTTTGAATGGACCAGGCCCATGCAAGACTCACCCCACCCCACTCCACCAACAAACTATCCTGTGCTTGCGACTAATTCCCGATATGAGATACACTGCTCTCACATCCCATGATCATCCAGGGCTCCCAAATCGTTCCCTCCCTCCAATCCATGTGAGGTCAACAGTGTCAATCTGCAGCAATATGTCACTGTTGAGACTTGCGCACCAGTGCGCAGATTGAGGAGAGGATATTCACATGATCTTTATGTTTTGAACTCTCCTTATTCTATGATGTAAAGCAAGATCTCAACAGCATGACATCGTACTCATGGAGGGGATTGGAGACTTGGTCTTAGAAGAAAAAGTCATCTGCATGATTGGATGATGAATAGAGACTGAAATTGACTATATAAAGCAAGACTTCACATCACTGTATATCATAAGCGTTTTGCTTTACAAGTCTTGCACGAATCCTGATTGATATTTATTGTAATATGTTTCCACGCTAACAAATCAATGAGATTTGACATAGTTATTTTAGAAATTTATACCGTACGGTACATAAACACATGATAACCGGACAACATCTATGCAAAATCTAGATGTTCAGATAAGATAGCATAAAAGCTGAAGGAAATCTTAAAGCCACCAAAAAACACATCGATGCATGGATGATATACATGCCGCTGCATCTATATCCTACGAATCA